ATATATATAGATTTTAAATCTCAGAAATAGTGCATCTTGAAACACATTATCTAAACCGTCTATTTTCAAGATTTTCATCTATTTATAAATCTATTTGATTTTAACCATTTTAAGATGTTTAAAACTTATAATTAAATATGAAAATAGATTTTCAGATAATCTTAAGAATTTTACTCCAAAATTACGTATTATAATAAAATTTGGAGGTACGCCTTAATTGGATTGTTTAAGGTTGCAACTTTATAGAAACCGCACCTTTATATAAAAATATTTTTAATTTATTGTATTTCTTTTTTAAAAAAAAATTCCTTGCTTTATTGATGTAGCCAATCCGGAACGTTAATTCCCTAAATTGGAATTGGCGGTAAACAATTCATCCTGCTGATCGGCTTTCTAGAACACTGTTTTAAAACAAAACTTAGTCCTGAACACAGTCCCAAGAGCCAGATTAATGATTCCAATCCACTGGTCCACCTTGGGCAGGCGAGTCAAATTGATCCAGGGGTACAATGGTCCTAAAAATTTAGAAAAAAAACAATATAAAAATATTACAAAATGACATGTTATGTGAAATAATGAATACGATAAATTTTGATGAATACGATACTAATTTTGATAGCGTTATTGGAATAACGCTCAGAAATTGCATTATTCCATAAAAATAGATATTTTTCTTTCTTTCTCTTTGTTTCTTTTTTTTAAAAAAAAATCTAGGGTCAAAATTTGAAATCTATACAAAATTATAAATAAAATTAAAAAATTACAAATCAACTTGTTGGTTGTGATCATACTCGGATTAGTGAAAAATGACGGATTGGGTTTTGATATAGGGAAAAGGAGCTCTGATTTCAAGCTTCTTAATCTTTGGATAATGGGTTATGATCCGAAATTACTTGTTTGGGATCTTATAGATAGACTTATTTGATTAAAATGGATAAATTTCAGAGAAATCAAAGCCAAAATGAGAGGATGGGAAAATGGCATTTTGAGATTCTCTCATAAGGGGGGGTGGTTCTTTTTTTTATTTTTATTTTTTAAATTGTAAGTGAGAATGGAGGTTGTCTCCTTTAACTGGTTTCAGGTGGTACTATTTTTTGAGCTTCTGATTTTTTGAGACCTAGGAGCTTGGTCTGAAATATTTTAGGATAAATGAGAGAAAGCAAAACGACAAAATTTTTAGAGAAATCGGATGAAAAACTGGAGAGAATTCTTAAGAAGGCTGCTCAAGTCTTAAAAATGGTGGAAAAAAAAAATCCTAATTTGATCTTCGGGATTTCCAAGATTTAATTTCAATGCAAATTTTTTTATGATTATTGTAAGTGAATGAGAGATGAATAATTTGTAACAAATTGGATGGATAGAATTTGATGAGAAAACAAGAGAAAAACAAAAACATTTATTTCAAGATAAAATAGTATAAAATGAACGTCAATGATGCTACAAGTTTCTATATCTTTTTTCACTACTTCCAAAAGGTTTTTTTTGAGTCTTCCAATTGAATTAACTTGCACTTCTTAACGGGTGTTGTACGCGGTATGTGTTGTACATGACCAGACTACTTAAATCTACTTTATCTCATCTTATTACCTATTAGTGTCACATCTAAATTTTTCGGAATATATTATTTTTTAATTTGATCACTTTTTGTCTTGCTTCTCATCCATCTCAACATGCTCATCCCAGCTGCACTCATTTTATGAGCATCATTTTTTTTTTACCGCCTAACATTCTACCCCATAAAGTAAAGCTGGTCTCGCAGCTATCCTATAGAATTTGCTTTTCGGCTTCATTGGCATGCAGTGAACACATAAAACTCCAATTGCACATTAATATTTTAAAAATATTAAAAAATTAAAATTTAAAAGCAAAAATTAATATTTTTAAAAGTAATTTTAGAGTGGTACTTTTGGGACCACAACTTTTATCTCATCCATTTCTAGGATGTGAAAATTAGGTTGCACCTCCTATAAAGTACAGCTGGTCTCATAGCTATTCTATAAAACTTGTTTTTGAGCTTCATTGGTATGCGCTGATCATATAAAACTCCAGTTGCACATAAATATTTTAAAAATATTAATTTAATTTTTTTAATTTTTTTAAATATTTTTAAAAATAATTTATGGAAATTAGGAATATTAGATATTTAAAATCCAAGAAAATCCATGAATATTCAATATCAAGGATTTTTATTATGGATTTATCAAATCTCTTGTTTGGATAAACTATACAAAATACATGGATTCCTTGCAATCACTTTCATGTCGATTGTTTGGTAACAAACTTGCTACAATTTCTCTCTCTAAAAAATTTATATACTCTCTCTTTAAAACGCAAAATTTGGGATAGTGTATTTATAGAAAATTTGAGATAGTTTCTCTCTCTAAAATTTTGAAATAGTTTCTCTCTTTAAAATTTGATATAGTGTCTCTCTAAAATTTGATATACTTTCTCTCTCTAAAGTTTAAAATTTTAGATATTTTCTCTCTCTAAAACTTAAATTTTGAGATAGTTTCTCTCTAAAATTTTTTGAGATAGTTTCTCTCTCTAAAAAATTCATGTACTTTCTCTATCTAAAATTTGTTATAGTTTATCTCTCCAAAATTTTGAAGTACTTTCTCTCTCTAAAACATAAATTTTGCAATAGTTTCTCTCTCCAAAAATTTTAGAGATGGAAACCAAAATTTTGAGATAGTTTCTATCGTTAAAAAATTTTAGGTAGTTTCACTATCTAAAAATTGATATAATTTTTATTTTTAAAATTTTTAATATATTTTCTCTTTCTAAAATTCCAAATTTGATATTGTTTCTGTCTAAAACTCAAAATTTGAGTTAGTTTTTCTCTCTAAAAAAAGAGATATTTCTCTCTCTAATTTTTTTGGCAATTTCTCTTTATAGAATTTATAATAATTTCTCTCTAAAAATTGAAGAATACTTTCTCTCTCTACAATTTTAAGAATACTTTCTCCCTCTAAAACTTAAGATTTGATATACTTTCTCTCTTTAAAAATTAAAATATGAGATTGTTTCTCTTTCTAAAGTTTTGAAATAGTTTATCTCTCTAAAAATTGAGATAGTTTCTCCCTCTAAATTTGCATGTACTTTCTCTCTCTAAAATATGATAGTTTATATCTAAAACTTAAAATTGAGATAGTTTCTCTCTCTAAAATTTTGAGATAGTTTCTCTCTAAAAAAAAATTGGTACTTTTGCTCTTTAAAATTTTATGATACTTTATCTCTCTAAAAGTTAAATTTTAAGATAGTTCCTCTCTCTAAAATTTTGAGATAGTTAATCTCTCTAAAAAAATTGGTACTTTTTCTATCTAAAATTTTAACATACTTTCTTTCTCTAAAATTTTAACATATTTTCTCTCTCTAAAAGTTAAAATTTGAGATAGTTTCTCTTTCTAAAATTTTAAGATAGTTCATCTTGTTAAAACAATTTGGTACTTTCTCTTTCTAAAAGTTTAACCTACTTTCTCTCTCTAAAATTTTAACTTACTTTCTCTCTCTAAAAGTTAAAATTTTAGATAGTTTCACTCTTTAAAAATTTTGAGATAGTTTTTCTCTTTAAAAAATTTAGGTACTTTCTCTCTCTAAATTCTCCTACGTACCAAATGCTCCCTATATTTCGGGTTGAGGGAGTCAATGAGTGAAATTTATGGGCTTTAGAAATGTAAAAAGACAGGAAATGAAATTATGGAAAAGTAGATCTTATTTTCATAATTTTGATTTTTTTAATTTTAAGTATCTTAATCATTAAGCAATCCAAACGGTAGATTTTAACATAATCCAAGATATAAAGAATCTATGTAACCAAACAGTCCTTTAGAGTGGTACTTTTAGGATGTGAAAATTAGATTGCACCCTTCTCATAAATTAAAGCCGGTCTTATAGCCATCTTATAAAACTTATTTTTTGACTTTATGGTGATCACATAAAATTTAAATTATATATTAATATTTTAAAAATATTTAAAACAATTTTTTAAAATTAAAATAATATATTATTTTTAACGTAATTTTGGAGTGAGATTTTTTGGACCACCGCTTTTGTCACGTCCAACAATTGAATGTGAAAATTAGGTCCCACAAGCGAATCACTGACCCACTATGTTGGTCCCCAAACCATAAAAAAACAAAAATAAAAACAAAAACAAAAAACAAAAACAAATAAAAAACAAAAACAAAAAAACAAAAACATAAGCAAAAACAAAAACAAAAACAAAAAACAAAAACAAAAAACAAAAACAAAAAAACAAATAACATAAAAACCAAAAAAAACAAAACAAAATGAGAATGGCAGCAACGGACCCAACGATCAGACCCAACCCGCGTCCGGGTCCAAAATGTGGACTTGGTGGGTCGAGTCTAGGTCAAAATTGGACCTGAATATTTAATTAATATTTTAAAATATAAATATATATTTTGATTATAATATTTCTATAAGAAACCACTAGGCAACATCTATAGGTGAAAATGAACAGTGTTTTCGCACATAGGCTAGACGCTACTCGATTTTTTTGGACAACAATAATTAAAAACCGTCACGGACCTAGCATGTCGTAGCGGTCAAACCATCAAGGGCATAACAAGTCTTTGGCAGTCAAGAAACATGCGGAACCATCACAGACCACGCGCCGTCTGTTGCAACTGCATTCAATAACCCGCCACGGACGTAGCATGTCGGTGGCGGGGTGAAACTCTGTAGCAATTGGCCTATAAACATTTTCAAGAAGTTTCATGTTAGGAGAATTCCTTCTCTTGTGGGCTCCTTTCCCCATATGATCAACCGTGTTCGAAAGATTCTATGTGATCTCTTCAGGAGCATTTTCCACCGTCCATTTCCTTGGGTATAAGCCAATCAAATTACATCAGTCCTTTCCATTGGCATTTATCATTGAAAGAAGCTATTGTAAAGCGTGAACTCTTTAGTATAATATACTTAACAAAGCCAAAGATTGCATGGGAGTGTGTACTGTTAATTTACTCCCTCAGACAAAACCCTCGGAACATTTTCTTGATCCCCAATTTTGGTGGGGATGTAATCTCTAAAAGGAAAGTCAACTACCTACCTCAAGTGAAAAAACAACTCAGCTCTCATTCTCTATGTGCCCAAAAAAATAGGGGCATCCTAAGATGGCCTAGGACCGTCCAATTTTTAGATGGAAAGATCTAGATGTTCAACAACTCAAATTCCAAACTTTTTTCTTTAGAAGTAATTATCTAGTTATTTTTAGACGGATCTCAAAATTTCAAATAAAATGTTCTACAATAAGTCCACTGCTTGAGGGAAATATATATTCATTATTTCAACTTTATTAATCTTAACTACCGGTCTAGATTTCCATTTCTACTTACTCATTCGAAAATCATTCACTATTTTCTAAAACCATTTCTAAAACAGGGTAGGGGCCTATATTCCCCATTGATATAAAAAAACACATTATTCGGACTCATTGTTTTCAACATTTTCAAGTGTAAGTCTCTAAACTTTGTTAGTGAGGATTCAAATTGATTTCCATACTATTATAACAAACTTCAGCATCTTTAACAAAAGTTGCCAATAAAAAGTTTTAAACAATGGGATGTTTATGTCACACGTGGTTGGACCACATTAGTTCCGTCTCAAATAAATCACAAAGTCCTTTTCCTCACAATGGTTGGACCGTGCTAGTACCTTTTAGGCCAAGTATTCATTCATGGGCCTACAATTCCTTAGGAAATTTAGGTCCCGGGTCATTTTCCACCCCTATTTTTATTTTTTGCCTTGACCTATGGATTGTGAGACCCGGCGCGTGGGTCCCAACTTCTCCCAATTTGGTTGTAGCCGCACCTCCAAACTTCTTTGGAAAATATGTTGAACACGGTTTCTATGATCCCATGTAGAAATGAGTCCCCTCTTAAAAATTTACTTTTGAGATGGATTTTTAGACTCAATTTTTAAGAGCACGTAATCTCTAACATGGAGATCATGAATATGAAAAAATAAATAAATTTTGAAAATTAAAAATAAAATTTTATTAATAAAATATTTAAATCATTAATTTCAATTGTTTTTAAATGAACCACCTATTTGTATCCATTTTTAAAATGGATGCTTTATATCTCGAAGAAGGCAAATGTAGAAATGCCGCCCACACCGCGTGAAACAATTTTCCAAATATCTAAGGGATTAGGTAGGGGTGGTGGGTGTCATTATGTGATATTTAGGAGTTCAATCCTCATGAAAACATTTGGAAAGAAAAATGCCACTCTGGTACCAAAAATTAAGTGATGACCTACAAATCTATTTTTCCCTTGCATAATGGGATTTAATTTGGAGGGTATGTGAACACTTGAAATACATAGTCAGAAGATACAGATTAAGACCATTTTTAATGCTTGTGATGGATCACATCTTTTAACCAGTTGCTCGATTCATGCTACCAAATGAACAACTATGGTCCTACAATAAGTGCTACCGAAATTTTTTACATATATGAGAAATTACTTTTCAGTTTAATGCGTCAATGATAATTGTGACCTTGTTGAGAAGGTTGGTCAATGAAATAATTGCAGCCACTCTATTTCACATCCACTGGTCAAGATCAATGACTAACTTGTATTAAAGGTAAATAGTCTCATTATAATTTTCCAAACATTTATACCCACAACAATTCTTTTTTGAAATGATAATACCGACAATAATTCCAAGTATCAAAGTGGATTGAACAAAGAGAAGCCACAATACTCGTACTATGCCGATAGGGCTTGTAGCTCATTGATTAATAATTTATAATTTGTCGGTCTGGATTGAAATCATCGATCTAGATCAAGAATTGGTTGAGGTTGTGCGGGTTTTTGCTGTAATAAACAATTCAACAGTAATTTAGTATTTTTTATTTATTTTCTTCAAATAAAAACTATATAAGTGGGGACAATTTAGAAACATCCATGAGTAGTTGAGTTTCAAACCCCTGACTTTGTTGGTTAAGGCCATTGTTAACTGGTTCAAATTTGGTATCAAACCGGTGAGGGCTTTGGTCTAATAAAAATTGGTACAAACCCTAGTCAAACAAGTTTGGCCGATTTTTTTTAAAAAAAAAGAAAGAAAATTTGATATAATAATCTAAAAATACAAAATAAATTAAGAAAATTTTCTTTATTTAGTTGGTCAAACTGATCAGAGCCGAGTGGTCTGACTGACCAAAACCAGTAAAACATTGGTTTTAATTGGTTTTAACTTTGAATCGGATTGGCCATGGTACTGATTTGCAGTCCGACTGGCCAGACCACCGGTTCGATCTGCTCTTGATAACTACACTGTATGATGGTTTTGCTGTATAAAATTACATAAGCAATAACAGTGGGTTGGGCCCTTGCCGATAGTAGCGCCATGCCCAAGTGAAGTCTCTGACTTGAATCTCACCAACTTCGATTTTCTATTTCTATTATTTTTTCATTTTCTTCTCACCAGAATTGATGTAAAACCTATCACGATTTGGAATTTGGACAGAGAACCGCATACCAGAAAGCATTGTGGCTGCTTTGACCCATGACATCTTCATAAAAGGGTGCCAGTTTGGGTTCTCTATCGATGGGCCCCACGACGTGGAGGTGGGCCAACTCTATCCAGACGAGCCGCTTCGATCAATTTCCGACTGCTTTGACGACTACTTGCAGGAAATCGTGCCGGAAATTGTCGGTCCGATGGAAATTGTGGCGGCCGAGCCCCAGAATTCGCTCTCGGTGCCCCTCACTTGCATCTCCTAGGGGCCTAAAAATCTCTTGAAACAGCATTTAATAAGGGATTTATAAGGTGCCTTTTCATTATGAGTTTTTTGTTTCAAGGATTGTATATAATGAGATTATTTACTTTTAAAATAAGATGGTCACACTTCTTTACGATCATTTGATATGAAATTTGATAGCTTGGAAGTGTCACAAAGTTCGAAAAACTTTATTTTGAAGTTTGCGCTTAATCAATGGAATAATTGTATTCACCCAATTTCATGTCCAATGATCAAGATTAATGTGACCATCTTATATCAAAGGTAAATGGTCTCATTCTATACTATCCTTTTTCATAAATGAAAAATTGTCTCATGCCAGGTGGACTGCATAAGTACAATTGAGGTCGAAAAAGTGTAAAGCGTCCATCTTAATGATGGTTGCAAGTAGGTGTTCCATCTAAAATCAATGGAAACTAATGGTCCAAATGTTTTCTTACTAAAATTATTATTTTTAGTTCTTAAAATTTATTTATTTATTCATATTCATGATATCCGTATTAGAGATTATATATTTTTAAAAATTAACTCCCAAAAATCCATTTCAAAAATACATTTATTAATAGGCCTACATTTTTGCACATGCGGGCTTGGCTGCATAGAAACTGGGTGCTTCATAAATTTAATTACATCCATATTTTGCATTTTTCCCATCATACCGATAGAAGTAGAAGTTTAAATCAGCAATGATAGTTTATTGATGTGATACATTAAAATAAATAATATGAATGTATTAATAATAAGGAAAAATTACATATATATCTGTTATATTTTGAGTTATTATAGATGTACCGAATAGTTTCCGTTATTACATGTCTGTCCGTTTTTTACTTTTCATAACACAAAATTAAAAAAAAGATAATTTTATCCTTTTCCTGGTGTTGAACAACTGAATTGAAAGGTTTTTCAGATGTTCAACATCCGAATTCAATATATTTTCGATTGTTGAACAATATTAGCCATATTTCAGAAAGCTTGTATTGCCAACATTCGAAAATGGTTTCAGATGTTTGTGATTGTGAAATTCCAGAAACCTTAAAGAAGGTAAAGTCATCTTTTTAAAATAATTGCGTTATAAAAAGTAAAAAACAGACAGACATATAATAACAGAAACTATTTGGTATAGTCGTAGTAACGCAAAGTATAATAGATATATATGTAATTTTTCTTAATAATAAATATAATAATAATAATGATGGTGATGATAAAACTATTATTGGGAGGTTTGAAGTACAAATTACCAATGACAATTTATTGATAAACTCATGTGATATATAATATCAATTAATAATATCATGAATGTAACAAATGTAAATACTAATAGTATTGTATTATAATAACACTACAAATATAATATTATTAATGATAAAGTATTAATAATATTACTATAAAAATAATAGATTATATTGATAATAAACATCATAACACTCCAATAAAAGGTATAATCGTAATATATTATTACATATTATAAATTAAAATAATAAAAAAATAACAATAATATTAATAATTATAATTTATTATTATTATTATTGTTATTGTCGCTATTATTGTAATTATTATTATTATTATTATTATTATTAT